ACATGGTGGTGATTTCTCCAAAATATACATAGCTTAGCCTTCTATCTGCTGCTGAAATTCTAACCTGCAAACTCTCAGTGGGTGCTGATTGTGTCCCATCATTCAGATGCTGCATGCAGGGGGCATTGCTGCATGATTTCCAGAGGGTGAATGAAAACAAGAGTCTTGAGTCAATGTGTGAGATCTCAGCCTGGGAGAGAAAGCTCTTGGGCATGCAATCCCCATTGGGACTTTAAATTAGAAAATAAAACCAGTGAGAAGCTCTATGCTTTAGCCTCCTTGAGAAATCCACTGCTGGGTTGATAAATACTCATTTTGATTTCTTACCCAATGTGAAACCAACAACAATTGCAAAAAACAGTTTCCTTAAAAATCTGATATTTGCTTTATTTTCCCAGCTGCAAAATGCCTCTTTTTCCCACTTAATTGTCTTTTACAACCCCCACCTTGCCTTTATCCATGGCCATGATGAGGCCCTATAAATAACTCAGCCCTGGTGAAGCCTCTTCTGGAGTGCTGTGTCCTGTGCTTGGTGCCTCAGTACAAGGGAGATGTGGAGCTACTGGAGTGGGTCTAGAGGAGAGCAACAAAGATCATTAGGGACAGGAACACCACTTATGAAGAAGGGCTGAAGGAACTGGGCCTGTTAGGCTTGGGAAGAGACAGCTGAGAGGGGACCTCATCAATGTCTGTCTGTGGTGGAGTGGGGGTGTCAAGGAAATGTACCAGGATTTGCTCAGTGGTGCCAGGCAATAGGACAAGGACAATGTGCAGAAACTGATGCACAGGAAGTTCCACTTGAATATGAGGAAGAACTTCTTTACTGTGCAGGCGACAAAGCACTGAAACAGATTGTCCAGAGAGGTTATGGAGTCTCCCTGACTGGAGAAATTCAAGAACTGTCTGCATGCAATCTTGTGTAATGTGCTCTGGGATGACCCTGCTTGAGGAGGGAGGTTGGACCAGATGACCCACTGTGGTGCCTTCAAACCTCACCCATTCTGTGATTATGTCATAAAGAGTTTTGTAAAAGCTCACCTTGCATAAAAAGGCAAGAGTAAGGGCCTCTTTAAAAGGCCTCCTGTTACCTCTGTCCATTTTCATTCTGGATTTCTTTTGCTTAAGTTCCTGATAACCACATCTCAACCTGCCACATGAGAAATGGAGACTGATCAAATGGCATTTGAACTTTACAGTCAAAACACAACTCAGGTGCTATGCCAGCTTCAGAAGTAATAGAAGTTAAAAAAAGGGGACATCAACATCTACAAGGAACAGACTCTTTGCTAGTGATGTCTGACCCTCTGTTCATAGAGGCAGGGGGAAGACACTCTGCAGCCATTCTGGAAATGAGTAAGCACAGTGCAAACCTTCAAACAGAAGAGATGCTTCTAATTTGTATCAAGAAAACATCTCTACCATCACAAATCATCATTCTGCCTAAGGCTGATTGTTAATTTTGGCCTCAGAGAAAGCTGCTGTGTATACACAGAATAACACTGCTTTCCTCTCAAAGGGCAAATACTTTGAAGAGGCTGCCAGGCCTACGAAGCTGCTGAGACACAGGGCAACAGACATATAAAACCTGTTACCTCATTGCTGCTCAAATGACAAATAGGACTTTCTACTGCCATTTTCCTAGAGTTTTTGCTCCTAGATTCCACAGCTGTCTGTCAGTGACTATAGGAGTAGTAGAACTTGCTTTTCATTCATGCCATCTAAAACCGTGAGGGCCATGTCAATGCACAAGTATTTGTGCCAATGATTTTCAGCAGCTCAGTTTACACCTACTCTTGCAAACTTTTTCACTGAGACTTGTCATGTTGTGTTATATAAACTAGCATGAATAAGAGTGGGGAAAAAAATAACAGTCTAATGTAGAATTCCATACAGCGAGGTCTTCCAGCTGGGGCTGCTGTCAAGTTGGTCAGTGTTCCTGCTCCCTGGGCTTGGCACTGACCCTTGTGGAAGGGTGTCTGATCACCTGGTCCATGCAGGGCTCTTGAATGCCACCACATAACTAGTGATAAAGATGTCCTTTTCAGAGTAACCTGATGTAAAATCTGTACCTTGTTGTACCCATTCCCTTTTGCAGCTGGCAGACTGCTGGTGTTATGCAGCCATCTAGAGGGCCTGGTGTCTGTGCCGGCTTCAGACAGGTGACCAGAAACCACAAAACTGCAGGAAAAACAAACTCTGCTGACCCTTAGTGGCTGTAACTCAGCTGCAGTGCTTTGGAAATGTTTCCACAAGTTCAGGACTGCTGGTTTGGTGCTGTTATGCAGTCTATTGTCAGATTTTTTTTGGCGGGGTAGGCGGGAAGGTACTAAGTAACGCGATGAGGACTAAAGACTGGGGGAGCACTGTCAGTAGAGAATAGCATCTGGGCATCATAGAGGAGAACATCCCTAACCCTGAGATTTTACAGCAGTTCCACAGAGTAAATGCAATTCATATATCTAAGGGCTATCACAACTGACACCATAAACTGAAAGTGAGTCATTCTTTGGCAAAGAGAGGCAGAAAGAAAAAATGGAGGAAAAGGCACAAATAATTCAAGACTATCAGAGGCTCTGATGGACAAATACAATTATTGGACATATTAGGAGATGCATGTCTGATTAAGATAGGGAAGACAAGTCCTTGAACTGATGGGACTGATAACTGAATGGAGCAGAGTGGCTGGAAAATGGCCCAGTGGAAAAGGATGCAGGGGTGCTGGTTGAGAGCCAGCTGAACATGAGCCAGCGTGTGGCCAGGTGGTCACGAGGGCCAATGGCATCCTGGCTTGTACCAGCAATAGTGTGGCCAGCAGGACCAGGGCAGTGATTGTCCTGTACTGGGCAATGGTGAGGCCACACCTTGAGTGCTGTGTCCAGTTCTTAGCCCCTCACGACAAGTAAGGTGTTGAGGCACTGGAGCATGTTCAGAGAAGGGCAATGGAGCTTGTGGAAAGTCTGGAGAATGAGTCCTGTGAGGAGCAGCACAGGGAGCTGGGGGTGTCCACCCTGGAAGGGTGATGCTCAAGGGGACTGTATCACCCTCCCCAACTGCCTGAAAGGAGGGTGCAGCCAGGGAGCCGTCAGTCTCTTCTCCCAGGAAACTCCTGACAGGAAAAGAGCACATAGCATCAGCCTCCGCCAGGGGAGATTCAGGTTGGACATTGGGAAGAATTTCTTAATGAAAAGGGTAGTTAAACGTTAGAACTGGCTGCCCAGGGAGGTGGTGGAGCCACCGTTCCCAGAAGTGTTGAAGAAATGACTGGCTGTAGCACTTAGCACTATGGTTTAATTGACATGGTGGTATTCAGCCCAAAGGTTGGACTCAATGATCTTGGAGGTTTTCCCAACCTTAATAATTCTGTGATTCTTTGATTCTATGTCTTCACCTGTAGTATCATAGAGAAGTCTGGCTTTCAAAGATCCAGAAACAGGAATTGGAGGGTGCAACCAGGTGATCAGGGGAACAGAAATATTATTTTGCAAGAGGAACTTAAAGATCTAGCAAGAAAATGTCCTATGGGATATGAAGTATTTCCCCCCATTAAAATATGACACCACTGATCTCAGCAACAGAGAGGATTAAAAGTCACGTAGTGCAAGATCAGATTGAGCATAGATTGCTCAAACCTTTGGGATTGGAAAGTCAGTGTGCTTTTAACTCTAGGAACAGTGAGGTTCATTAGTCATGTCTGCAGTGCCAGGAGGAGGAAGCCCTTGCTAAAATACAGGTTGATCCAGGAGGGAGTTGCCACCACCAGCATTTCCAGCCTCATGCTCTTGCTTTGGTGGCGCTGTTCAGACCTGCTGATTGATCAGATTGTGCCGTGATAATGGTAAAAACAGTGTCCCAGCATAATGGCGCCTTGTATTCTGGTGAGAGTGGGTGAGAAGGCTGGGAAAGGCTGTTGTGGACACCCTGTAGCAGGCTGGAGGTGTGTGTGCACCCTGTAGGTGTATGCATGCCCTGTGGCTGTGTATGCACACCCTGTAGCTGTGTATGCACACCCTACAAGTGTATTTACAACTTGTAGCTGTGTATTTACCCCTGTGGCTGTGCAGGCCGTGTAAGCGTATTTAAACCCTGTAGCTGTGTATTTACATCCTGCAGTTGTATGCACATCCTGTATCTGTGTATTTACACCCGTAGGTGTATGCACACCCTATAGGTGTATTTACAGGGTGGGCGTATGTACACCCTATAAGTGTATTTACACCCCGTAGCTGTGAATTTACACCCCGTAGGTGTATGCACACCCTATAAGTGTATTTACACCCCGTGGATGTATGTACACCCTATAAGTGTACTTACACCCTGTAGCTGTGGATTTACACCCTGAAGGTGTATGCACACCCGGTAGCTATGTATTTACACCCGTGGTTGTATGCACACCCTGTAAGTGTATTTACCCCAGTAGCTGTGTATTTACACCCCGTAGCTGTGTATGCACACCCTGCGGGTGTATGTACACCCCGTAGCTGTGTATTTACACCCTGTAGCTGTGTATTTACACCCTGTAGCTGTATGCACAACCTATAAGTGTATATTTACACCCTGTGGGTGTATGCACACCCCATAAGTGTATTTACACGCATAGCTGTGCATTTACACCCCGTGGGTGAATGCACACGCCGTAGCTCTGTATTTACCCCTGTAGCTGTGCATTTACAACCCGTAGCTGTGTATGTACACCCTGTAAGTGTATTCATACCCCATGGGTGTATTTACCCCCGTAGCTGTGTATTTACCCCCTGTGCTGTACGCACACGCCCTACCTGCCTACGCGGGCCCTGTAGTAGCCTCGCACACCCCGTGGCGAGCGGGCTGCAGCGCCCCCCAGCGTTCGGCCGCGGGCGCGCAGCGCCGGCAGCTCCGCCCCGCTCCGCCCCTGCCGTCCCTCCGCGGGGCGGCCCCCGGGCACGGCCGGCCGCGGGGTCGCTCCAGTGGCGGGAGCGGCGGGCGCTGGGTGGCCCTGTCGCCTGCGGGTGTGGAGCCTCCGCTGAGCCCGGCCGAGCCTGCTGTTGCCGCTCCTTCCTCTCCCGGCGGCACAGCCCTCCTCAGGTAAGGGGCAGCGGCGTCTCCCCTCCCTTCCCGTCTGTCCCGGCTCGGTGAGAGCAGCCGGGATCCGGTCCTGGCTCTGTCCCGAGGGTCCCGTGGGCCGTGCCGAGCCCTTGGACCCGCGGCCTCTGCAGCCGGCGCGGCCGGGCATGGCTCGCCTGCCCTGCCGGTAGCTGCGGGCGGAGCGGAGCGGGGCCGCCCCTGAGCCCGGGCCCGGCAGCCGCGGTGCCGTGCCCCGTGTCCCGCTGCTCGGTGCCCGTCTGCCCTCCGCCAGGACACCGCTCCCGTCTCTCTTTCCCCGCAGGGAGGCGGCCGGCGGGAGCAGCTCCGTGCCGATGCTGCTGCCGGCCTGGGAGCTGTGCCTCTACGGGCTGCTGACCGTGGGCTCCCACCTCTACGCTTTCTACGAGGCGCACCAAGTGTCCCGAAGTAAGTGCGCGACGTGGGCGGGCTCGCTCGGCTCAGCTTCCCGCCCGCGGCTGGCCGGGCTGTTCGGTGTGAGTTCGCCTCTCTGGTCGGTTTCTGCTTTGTTCCTGTGCGAGGAGCCCCTGTGTCCTTCCCAGCTGCCAGCCTGCTCCATGCGAGGAAGCAGTAGGCAGATGCCACCTGAGCAGAGAGCTTTGTCCCAGGGCTTTTTTGCCTTTGAGTGCCAGGTCTGCCCTCGGTAATGTTGTACTCGGACGTGGCTGTCACGGAAAAGATGAGGGAGACCTCTGAAGCTCAGCTACTCAGGGAAGATTCAGGGAAGTTGGTTTGATTTGTGTTGTTCTCCCTGGTTAGTCACCAACAGCCCCTTGCAGGTGGGTCATTCAGAAGCAGCTCTGCCTTCTGATGGAAATTGCCAGGTCTGAACCTAGGGAGGCCCTAGGGCAAGTTGGTGCTCCCTGCCTGGAGCTCTCGTCCAGGACTCAGAGCAATGGTTGGGTTGTCTGTAGAGTTTTGTGGTCAGCTTGTTTCCAAACACCTACCTCTGCCTTGTGTAACCTCTTGGTAGCTGCTGTGGTGGCTCGGTTTGGAGCTGTGGAGCTGTGTATTGCGGAGCCAGGGTGGGATTTTAAACAAGTTAAGTATAATTTGTAGATTAAAAGAAGCTGTGTTATAGCACATTGCTATTTAAATGGAAATAAAAGTTGTATAAGTATAAGAAGCGAGAGAGGCTTTGCAGAGAATATATATTGCATCTTATTAGGCTTTGATCAACAAAGTTCTACATTAATGACTCTACCTGGCTTTGAAAGCCCTCAAGGGAAGAACAGAAGTGCCACAAAGGCATTTGCAGAGCAGTGGAAGAAGTTCTGTTGTCAGAACCCAAGAAATTCCTCTGGCTGCCCTGGAGGACTCAAGCTCCTGCCCCGGGGGCTCAGAGACCTTGTCATAGAGCCCAAGACCCCTGTGGCTTTGATTTAGCCTTTAGAAAAACAATTACCAACCTTACATGAAGAATTACAAGCCACGAAAGTTTAAGTAGAATGATAGTGAATTTATCACAGAGTGAAAAATAGATTTTTGGCGTTTTTAGAATGGGGGTTCAGGGGGCAAGATGGAAAAATCTGGGCATGTCCAGCCTTTCTCCTCCTTCTTCTTGGCCTCCATCTTCTGGGTGATGTTGGCACTTTTAGATTGGTTTAGGGTAGAAGCTCACTGTCTAACATAGGTGATAGGTATTGGAAAGTAATTGTAAATATTGTACATGTAGTTTTTAGTATTCTTTGTAACCGGATACAGAGCTGTTCACCCATGGTCCTGCACCCAGCAAGTCTTCTGCAGAAATTACAAAATGTGGTGGCAGCGGGCTCTAGAGGCAGCTTCTCTGAGCAGCTTTTCCCTGTTTTGGCTGTACTGGCCACTCTTGGGTGTGTGTCCCCCTTCTGCTCCGGTGGGAGGCACCAGGCAGTTCTGAAAAATGGTGAGTGAGGATTAGTGCAGGTCTTGTGTGCTAAAAGGTGGGTTGCTGCTACTGTCCCCATTGCCAGGGGGAATCAAAACACTGGTTCTGGGAAACTGCTTTGCCATTTCTATGGGCCCCTCACCTCGTGAGCAGTGATGTGGAGACTTGCCCTTCCCTGGATATGGGTATCCTCACTGCTGGAGACTACGTGGGAAGGCGTTGCTCTTGAGCAATAAAGAACCCACCCCTGACTCTTCCTGCTCTGGCTGCTGTGTCCTTATCAAAGGTTTGCTCTTCCCTGCAGAGTATGAAGCTGCAATGGACAGAAGGTTTGGGCTGGACCCAGGGACTCTCTTTCGGGGGCTAAAAAAGGTAGGAGGGGTGACAGTGTCTTGCTTTGTGGGAATAATCATGCTCCATGCCCTTTGCTCATCCAAGCTTCTGATTTAGCTTTAGAAGTTTATAGTAACATGCAGATTTGGATATTTATAGTTAATTTTAGTCTGATGTTTCTGACGAGGAAGAGAGACTGGCTGGGTGTGTCTGGATTTCAGAATCATAACCAAAGTTCTGCTCCTTTTCTTGATCCCTGACTTAAGTGTTTATCCTTTGCTATGGATCTTGATAACCTATTTTACTGTTTGGCCTTAAAACTGTGATCAACCTTGACACTTCCTGCAGCCTTCTCCCCTTTTTTCTTGTTACTGGGTGATTTGGATAATGGTTGATGTCAATTAACATGTTTTTCTCTTGGCTGGCCTGTAGTACAGCATAGAAGAGAACAGATTTTAAGGTGTAAAGTCTTAAAGAAACAGAGTTGGTATTAAAAAAACCCAAAACTAAAACAGTAAGGAAACTGGCAGTCCTCTACCCCAAACTAAAAAACGCATGCCTACCCCCCTTGCTTGCATTTCTTCAAAAGTTTGTGAGGTCAAAAGCAAATAATCCAACTAATCTTAAGGATTGCTTACACAAAAGCAGGAATGCATGTCTAAGTGTTTTGGTGTTTAGGCCTCCCACCACTGCTGGTAATGGACCTTTGATATATGCTTTTTAGAAAGCTTTAAGGCAGTTGAGATGAACTTTTAGTAAGGCTCTGTGTTGGACATGGGGCTACTGGCTGATCCCTCTTACCTAATTTCGATAAAAATCTGAATTTTTATCAGCTGACCTAACTCCATCTAATTGCAACTAGACTTTGCTGAAATGGGGAGTTAATCTTGTCTTCCAGCAAAGTACCTTTCTACTGAAGTTCTTGGTATTCCAAGGCAGAGCAGAGTTGCTCTGAATCCCTCAGGAGAGCTGAAGTTGCTCAGCTTCAGCACCAGTGTGAGGCTTAGGAGGCACAACACCATGTAAAGCTCTGTTTCCTTGAACTGCCCCATTGGAAGTGAAAATGATGCTGAGTTCACTGCTGCAAGTGATCCAGCTGGGTTGCTAAAGTGGTGTTCCTGCAATGTGGGAGTTCTGTTGGGTACCACACAGCAGTTGTATTATGGAGATACTCCTTTGTCCATTATGGCCAGATACACATAGTGACCAGTTCCCTTCGTTCCACAGGACCCCATGGACTTTGAGTGGAGCTACTGGGTTGAATGGGGAAGGGAACGTCTTCTTTGGCTTCTGGCTGGTCACCTGCTGGTATCACAGATCTCCAGGCTCTTGGTGGAGAAGGTATGTAGGGATTTTCTTCACAGTGGGGAGTTTCTGATGGGTTTGTTTACTGTGGACGTGGGAAGCTTTGCAGTGAGGCCGCTGACAGTAGTAAATCTCATCCTGTGGTGTGAATTGTGTGTGGGGGTTGGCTGCGTTAATGTTTGGAGACTTCAGCCTCCAGCCTCTAAAAGCCTCTGCCTTGTAAGCCATTAAACAGCATTGTTTGATTTGTACACATAAGAGGGGTGCAGCTGTTCCTTTATGATGGAAGTATGTAAAGTGATGGCTGCTTGGGTTTTGGCATGATTGCTAAATAATTGTATGATTGTGGGAATTGATCTGTGTGTGGTGTCACACCTGCTAGTCTGAGGAAGGAAAGGAAGAAATTATGCTCTCCCTCAAATTAGGGACGCTGGTTTTCACGTGATGTTATGACAGAAATACCTTCCCTTTCACTTTTAGGGTTACAGTTGGATTTCTGTGGTTTTTTTCATGTATGTTCCTCACCTTGTTGACTATATTTGTGTTCACTGCAGAACCTGTGTAGGCAGCACAGGTATTGAGTGCTTTTGTTCTTTAGAAATAATTAAACTAAAAGATTGTTAACTTTTCTTTTTCTGACAGTATAAACCATGGTGCTTGATGGTTTATGGAATGGCTGCCTGCTGGTTGTTACTGGGAATCAAGGGCTTTGCTGTCATTTTGTTACATGCAGCTATTTCCTTTGCTGTGGCTCAGTTTCAGCTGTCACTCCTGACATGGTTGTGCTCCCTTATCCTTCTGGCCACTTTACGCATACCTGCCGTGGAAGAAACCAAGGTAATGTGAGAAGGACTAATTAAACATCAAATTAATTATGGTGATGGTTGCCTATAGTGGTGTCTATCTCTATGGCAGCATACTGTCCCTTCAGTTGGTATAAGCAGGGGTTGCTTTGAGGAATCCTAAGCAGTAGCACTGCAGTGACTCATGCTGGAGCTTCTCCAGTTAAAGTCACATTTCTCTATCATGGTGGCCAGTGCATTGGAATAAAAGTGTGTCCATTAATGTGTAAGTGGTATTCAGTGGAGCTGGAGTATAATACTTCACTAGTGCTTTATTAAACACATTTCACTGGAACTCTAATCATGCCAATCCAAGGTGCTGGGTTTTGGGTTTGTATCCAGGAGTTACTCAGTTAAGCTTGCCTGTACTTATTGGTGACTGTGACTTCTGCAGGGAAGGAGACTTTCTCCCACAGTTTGAGCTGTACCAAATCAGTTACTTGCATCAATTAGCTGTAAGCAAGCTCAGTTTTACTCCTTGTCTAGTGGCTTTTTGTGGGTAGTACAGATAAGGAAAAACTGTTAACCAGTTGTGAGGAAGTGTCCTGTTGTATTTTATTGGACCAATGGGAAAAACAGGACATTTGTTATAAGGGTTGTTGCCCTGATGTTCAGGGAGAGGGCGAGTGAGTGTGTAGAATCTTTGTGGTGTGGTCAGTTTTGTGATTTGCTCTGCTGAGGAGAGGGCCAGTGCAATACAAATTGTCAGTCAGCCAAGCTACATTTGCTGATATTTCCAAGTTTTTTGCCATGATTGGATTGTTGCTGGCCAATGTGTGATACCAAGTGTCAAAGAATCAATAAATGCACAGTAGTAACATTTTTCCAGCCTGAAGTTTTCTCAGGAATGACTGATTCTCCTTATATCTAGCTTAAGCCCTAGTAGGCCCTTGGCTTTTTGGTTTGAATATTGTAGTACTGGACTAAATCTGAGGTAGATAATGTTTCATTTTTGTGAGAAGAGCTCTCCTGCTGTCCTGGTACTTCACAGCCTGACGTGTTTCTGAAACCAAGCTGTTGTCTCTTTATGCTGGCTGCAGTAGCTCTGGAGCACCTTTCTCCACCAAAAGCCAGTGCTTGTTGTTCGTGTGTTTATTGCTGTTCACTTTAGATTCTCATTCCCACTGCTGTTGGCTTTAGTTTCTTCCTGCTGCTGCTTGCTGACCCCAAAAGCTGAGATCTGAGTAGACATTGCTGTCTTGCCATAGAGAGAACACAGCTTTGCACCATCATGATCTGGCTTTGTGTTGTTTTGCAGAGAAGGTGGTACGACACTGAAAACGAGTATTATCTGCTGCTCTTCACCGTGTCTGTCCGCTGCCTGTTCTGCACCAGCTTCAGCCTGGAGTACTGCTGGCATGCACCCAGCCAGAAGTCATCCCACTCCTTCCCCTGGATGCTGGCTTATGTGTTTTATTATCCTACATTCCACAATGGACCCCTCGTCAATTTTGATGAATTCAGTAAACAGGTAACAGTGGTTGTTGATTGGGTGTCTAAAGCTGTCTTCCACATAATTGTAAAATCAGGAAATAATACTATAGGAATGTTACAATTTTGAGTAATCATGAGAACTTTTGTAATGTCCTGTATATCAGCTTTTAACACAAGCCTGTCTCCCCAAGTTCTTCTGCTTCACAAGATGCTCTTGTCTAACATCGGATTCACCCCTTCAACCATGGAGCCAGTGACATGCTTTGTTACATTTGGAGAGTGTTCATAATTTTAGCATGCAGCTTCTGGACTGTTTTTTTTTGTTTTCTTCTTCATCAAGTGAAATCAAACTAATGTTTTCAGCATAAGCTTGCTATTAACTCTGAAATGGATTTCAGAGCCACAGAAAGCTGATAGATTGTATTGGGAATTCCTGAAAACTCCAGTTTCTCCTCACATTGGTGTGAAAACAGCCTTACTAGGAGCACTTTGCTTCAACTGAGCAGCTTGTTTAAAATATAAGACTCACAAACTGTACTGAATGCTTTTCTTAGTCCCTTGCAGGCTTCTGTTCAAGCCTGCTTTTTACATGATGGGAGAAGTCCATGTTTTCATCCTTTATTGCTTTCCATATTTTCTTACATACTTGAGTAAGAAGTGGCATCACAACCTGTTATGTCTATAGTTAAAATTATTGTGTCAAAGTAGATTAGTGAACATTTCAAACCATAAAACTGCTTTTTCAGTTTATGCATAGAAGCCTAGGGATTGCTTGCTTCTGTTTACATTTGGGAATTTTCTGTTGAAGCCAAAGCAAATACCAGGCTTTATGAAAGTGAAACTAGATTCCAGTGGATCCTTGAGTGAAAAGTCCTATGCTCATTTGTTTTCACTTGCTTTGGAAGATGCAAGGTTGAATGTTGTTACCTTGGGTTGGATATTGTGGGAACAGTCCACATAGACTTGCATAGAAACTGAGGTACTATTTTTTTACTAATTTTTGTTTTGTAGCTTCTGAAGTGTGGTAAATTCCAACTAAATCCTTGTACACCAGGAGAGGGACAGTTGTACTTTCTTTCAAAGGATGGTTTCAGAAGACCTATGAGATTCCAAGCTGAAAACAGCTTGAGGATAGCTGATAGGAAAAATTGGGGGAGCCTTGCTTTGATATTTAGCTCACCTGATATGGCTCACCAAAGAACTGTGCAAAGAGCACATGTATTCTTGGTGTAAGAAGAAAAAGAAAGATTGAGAATAATATGTCTGTATTTGCAGAAGGTTCTCCTTAAATATGTACAGATGTGTGTAGTTAAAGCCATGAAGAAGATGGAACAAACTGAACAAGCCTAATGTGTTTGCTGAAGGGTATGTCAGAGCTCTTACCTGAGCAGAGGGTATTACCTTGGCAGATGAGATCAGAAAAGGGTTTCAACGGATGCAGTGCCCAGCAGTTGATTCAAAATGCGCAAGACAAAGAGAATACTGATGCTCTTGTAAGAGACCTTTCTCAAACCCTTTAATTGCAGCTGAGACTGGGATGAGGGTTCCTGCTGAGCACAATGGAAAGCAGAAATTCTGGAGCTGGAGACAATGGACTGCTGTATGACCCAGAGAGCGTAATAGCAATTCTGGCAATTGGCATCCACTGCCACTTTGTCACTGGCCTTGTGGAATTGCTGGGCTGAAGCAAGGCACAGCAGTTCTAGACATGGGTTTGAAGGGCTGTTGTGCAAATCCCTGTGGTAAAATGGTAGTCTCCAAGCTTTCACATTGCCATGTAGCTGATACAAAGGAGCCCTCCAAATGAGTGTGCATCTTTACTGTGCTGTGCTTGGGACTGAGGGCCTGTGCAGATGAGTTGGTTGCTTCTCTTGTATGTGCATTTTTGTGGCCAGTTAGAGACTAGACAAGTAGACATTGCACACAATAATGGATGTGTAACACATGACTGAATTTTTGGCAATCCTATGTTTCTGGTTTTTGATTCTATTCTCTCTTATTGTGAAAAGGGGGTGCAATAATAATATGCCCGTGTGTTTGCTGCAGTTAGCAGTCTAAGAGTTTGGAGCCTCTTGAGAAGCCTGTCAACTGCAAACTTTGCCTTATTGGATATTTAACTTGCACTTCCATTTTCTCAGCACATTCTGTAGATCTTGCTGACTTTGGCAATGCTATGGGAGGAAAATTAAGAACTGTCCTCAAGTCATCGATTCTCTGCAGTTGGTTGAAGTTGGAGGTATTTTAAGAGTAAGCAGCATTGTTCCTGTTTGGAAGGGCTGCTGCTTGGAAAACCATCTTCTTCCTAGCTGTAGTTTCTTTAATCTTTTTATATTATCTCCAGAGGTCAAGTTGCAAGAGTTAAAGTCTCACGTCTGGATTCTGTTCAGGTTAACAACAGTTGGCCTTTTTTACAACAGTTAGGTGCAATGTGCATGCACATTTGGCTTCTTGTTGGCTTCTACTGCTTACTGAGATTGAGAATGGAGAGACCAGTCTCGCTCTAGAGTGTGTGAGGAGTTTCCAAATGGTGTAGTCAAAAGTTCCCAGCATAAGTACTCATTTTGAGTAAAATGGTCGGTTTTGTGCCAGGTAACCTCTTTGGATTTCTTCTTTAGATGAGAAGACAAGAAGCTTTCAGTGTGAAGACCAATCTCATCATCTTAATTGCGGGCATAATTCGTATTTTCTTTTGGTGGTGCCTGGCTGAGCTGATGATTCACCTCATGTATATCCATGCTCTCTACAGTAGTGCTCTGCCTTTGGAATCTGCATCTTACTGGGCCTTGGGTGAGTATAGAAACAGTAGCAGAAATCTTTCTTCTTCCCCCAGTTCAAGAACCCCAGTCTGCCTCTCTTATGTCTGCTTGTAGGTACTTAAATGTAGCACATTATAGCAAGCCACTGTCAGAAAGGTGGTCTATGGACTCTTAATATAACATGTGGATTCTCCATAAGCTTAGTTGAACTTATTGAGCTGCTTCCTAAATTAATTTTGTCGTTTTTCCAGTCTAAAGTATGTCTGTAAACTGTGGCCTAAGCTGATTCTCCCCCTCAAGTCGTAGAAGTGGACACTTAAAAGGAGTTTATTTATTGTGGGGATGAAGAAGGGGAGATGTTAAGAATTATTTTTATCTCCTCCTGATTGATGTTTCTATGCATTCATGTTGAAAAGTAAAAGGACAGAACTTGTAAAACTAGTAGAGGGAAGGACTTGCAAATAAGGTAACATGAAAGTAGTAGTCAGTGCCTCTCAGTTCTGTTTTCCTGCTTGGCTTCCCCCTCTTCCACCTTGTCTGCAGTTCCTGGTATTTCATCAATATGCCCAACTATGAGGAAAAAGTGCTGACAAATCAGGTGTAAATCAGCAAAACATTTAGGTGATGGTAAGCAACTGGCATATGTGGTTGATTTGATTCCTGCCCCCACTTCCCAAGCTGTATCACCAGGTAGGAAGAAGAAAAGCAAAGAAACCCCAGACTTTAAAACTTGTTTCTGAAAAAGCCTGGGTGATTTCTGCCTTGCAGGAGGTGTCTCTTGAACCAGGGATTGATACACACACTGGTATGGAGCTCACCTGTGCCACCACAGTGTGTGTGTGTTGGAGAGCACTTGGACTACACTGGGCTCTGGTCAGCAGAGGGCAATGTGAGCACTCTCTGTGTAACCCTGTGTGCATACATACACTCTTGATGCATGTTTTAGTATATAATTTTGATATCTAAGAAAGGGCAGGGGCAGATGGAGAGCAAGAAAGGGACAGGTATGCCTCAGTGGTTTGTTGTTTGTTCTACTCCTCACTCAGTCACTGTTTAGAAAGGGGGTTCTGAGTTGTCATTTTCTATTCTAAACATCAGTTCACTGATGACTTAAATCTGTTAGGTCCTTGTGCTTGTGTGTGTTACAAAAAGCTGGCCACTTGATAATGCAGGGAAGGCTCCAGAATTAGGGATGAAATATTCCAGCAGTGGTGCTACTGATGGATTCCTCCCACCCTTCAAGACTACCAGTGTTGATTTTATAGGGAGGGGAGAGAGTTATGTTATAGACAACAGCTAAGCTGTCTGTGTATTTATTTGAAATAAAGTGTGCTATCCTAAGAACTAAAATGCATTTTGAACTGAGGGTTAGAAAAGGTGAAAATGCCTCAAAGCAACAAGAGATGAAAGCCACCGTTAGAGCAAGTTTGGACTGTAAGGATGCCTGATGTCAAATTAAATGATTGTATTCTAACAAGCTGCCTGTGGAGACCCTGCCTTTAGGACAGGTGTACTCAATGTGTAACCCTATTCTTACTGAGCTTTGTTGTTGTAGTAATGTAGGCAGGTGTTTAAAATATACTATAAATGAGATTTTCAGCTAGAAGTTGGTCAATTACTGTTTTCTCTGCAGGTTTTATCACAATGATTATATAGGTTTCCTTAGACACAAATCAGTGCTAGGCCACTGTTGTGACTTGCTTTAGGGAGCTACCAATATGTGAGTATGGGTACTGGTAATTTACTATTAAGTCTTACTGGACCCTTATGGATCTCAGCATGCTTCTACACCAGTTCCTGTACAGAGCCAAGCTCTCTCCTCTGTTACTTTGCATGCTGTGTTATTGGAACTAATTTCATCAGATAACTGAGTCTTAAGACCAAGGAAGCAGCTTGCTGTTGACTCAGGAGGATTATCCATGGTGTGTAAGCCTTTCTGCACTGATGGGGCTTGTTCATTTTGGGTGTCCTGTTTGACTACAGCAGCTCCAAAACAGCGTGAGCATCTATTTACACTGTGATGCCTGGCTGCCCTGATAGCCTGGTAAACTTAAGGGAGAGGCTGTGAGGCTGTTCTGCACTCACCTCTAATTAGGGAGCTTGTATCTGCTACTGCTTTTTTTTTTTTTCTGGGCTAGCTTTGAACAATGGGCAGTAAATGCCAGAAGTGCAGGCAAGACAGCACTGCTGTGAGGTTTTGCTCTCAGCACCTAAGGGCAATGTCAGTCTACTGCTCATGACTGTGAAGCTACAGTGTGTTCTGCATCACTGGGTAGTGTTCCTGTAAGGTGAGACCATAAAGAAATAAAAAAATACCCCAAAACTAAATCCTGAGTTATAATGCTTGTTAAAAAATGCTAGTGTATAACAGTGCCATTTGTGGCCATGTAAAGCATAAGTGCTAAAGTGATCTAAACTAACATTGCTAAGGACACACAGGTATAAAGTTAAAAAATAGTAGGAGAATGTTACCCAGCAGTAGAAGTATTTTCTCTTGCGTGGATGGAATCAGAAACAAATGAGTTTCTAGAAGCAGCCACATACCCTAAGTGGTGCAGTATAGCTTTTCAATCAATAACCAAATATTAGGTCCCCCATCCAGAACAGAATCCAGAATATGATGGGGCTGTGTCCAACTCCATGCCTGCTTGCCATATATGTATGGGCCTTCAGTCTGTGGAAGGGATGTGAATGTCTGAACACAGAATTAATTCAAAGATGCCAGCTGTGCAATCACAGAACTTTTATTTATTGGTCCCAGGAAGCTGTTGTTTGGAGAATGTGAGCATTTTCCAGAATTCACAAATCATTGTGTCTCTGTTCACAAATGTTTGTGTTTGTGGATAGTTAGCTGTTGACATACTGAGCAATATCAGGGCATTTGTGCTTTTTTAATGATGACTATCAAATGCAGTGTTTATAGCAATTCTGTGGGTTTGTGTTGGTGCTGCATCTCGTTCTGGTAGCATCAGTCAGATTGGCTGAAAGAATTGGATGCTTTCAGAATTAATGACACAGCAGGAAGACTCATATTCCATGTTAATGGAAGCCATGATAGTTCATTCTTCTCAGTTTTAACATTAATTTGGAATAATTTTCTGCCTTTACATTGTAAAATATAGATTTGCAGGCACCAAGAATAAAAGCCACTATGAATTCCAGTAATCCAGTATCCTGATGAATTGCAGCATACCAGAACAATAGCTACACTGTGCCAGAGCAGAGGTTCATCTGTTCTACAGAGTAATTTTTGGATATGCTATGTAATGAAGCAAGAGAAAAGAAATGAGTAAAAGACAGGTAGATTGTTGATCCTTTTCAGTGTCTGTTCTTCAAGCTTCTGCAGCTGAATGACAAATTCAGCTGGTGGTAATGGGGAGCTTAATAGCATTGGTTGAAAGAGCTCAAATTGAAACAAGTGATTCTTTTTTTTCTTTGCTGTGACAACGTAGACTATCAATGGTAAAATTCACTCTGCTGAGGTACATTCTATTGTATAGAAACCGAAATGTGTGTTGCTAGGTCATTTGTGTGTTAAGTCTGATTCTGAAAATGCAGATGTTGGAAGAAACACTGCCTGTATTTCCCTGATGAGCCTTCACATTTATCCTGGTGATTCAGCACCATCACTTATCCCTGCTCATCTGAGCAGAGCTTCACATCCATCTGGCAAGGTGCAGGGAATGATGGAAGACAGAAATGTGTATGAAAATACGTTGTTGAATATAATTGTTACATTGGATTCATCTTAAAAGCTCCTGTAGTTGTGAAAATATATTTTGCTAGGAATCTGTCTGTGCTTTGCCAGAGGTATGTGATGTATAGATGTACATCTAGGATATGCACACCTGATGGAATGTTGTGAATTCCCTGTGGGTTTCATCTGTCTGTCCTAACCAGGTACAGTCCTTTTGTTCTAGTGAAGCACGCACAAGGTAGTGTCAATTAGCTATCACTGTTTTAATTATTAACTAGGCTCTACTACTTCAAAAGGGTAATTTCATATGAGGGGCATATAAGTCAGTTAGAATATGATGTGTTCAAAGGTGGAGCCACGTGGCTTAATCTGTAGTTGCTGATCTCATGTTTTAATTTGTTAGAAGAAGAAACGTTATGTATATTCGTCTTTGACACTGAGACCTACAAAGTAGTCTGTGTAAATTGGATGTAGGGTTCTGTAAATTGGATGTAGGGTTCTGGTTTTGTGTTTGCAGTTTTTTTATGATAAATCCACAGATAGGAAGTAGATCTCTAAGTTCCTTTTCAGAAGCATGCAGCATTTTGTATTGAAATCAGGCGATCTGTTCATCTAAGTAGTAGTGAAATACTAAGAGGAGTCTTAGATTTTTTCCATCCTGGAAGATAATGATAAGGAGAAATTGATGAAGTATTTGGCATCTTGAGGTCTGTTTAAAAACTGGAAATATAAACACAAATCAGAAAACTTCGGGTTTTTTTTCCTAGAATATTAAGTTGTTCCCTGTTTTGTAGAAAGAAGTGTTCATGTGTGTAAGTTTTCTTTTTCTAATCCTTCCTGTAGGCTAAACTTCAAGATCCTATTGGCAATTAACCTGCTTCTATGACTCCTTTTCTTTTTAATCATGCATATTGTGGCTTAATCCCAGCTAGAAACTGAACACTACACAGCTGCCCACTCCTTTTCTTTTCTTGGAGAGGTGGGAAGAGAATTGGAAGAATAAAACTGAGCATTTATGGATTGAGATAAAGACAGTTTAATAGGTCAATTAAAAACTGCATGCACAAGCAAAGCAAAACAAGGAATTAATGCCTCACTTCTCTGGGCTGGCAGATTTGGATCTGCCTCCCAGATTTGGATCTGGACTCCTTCAAGCATAATGGTTACTTTGGAAGACAAATGCAATTACTCTGAACCTCGCCCGCCTTTCTTTTCCCCCCAGCTTTAGATGCTAAGCATGATATATGGTATGGGATACCCTTTGGGTCAGTTGGGGTCAGCTGTCCTGGCTGTGCCTCCTCCCAGCCCCTTGTGCACCCTCAGCCTTCTCACTGGCGGAGGGTGAGGAGCAGAAAAGACCTTGGCTCTCTAAACCCTGTAGTAACAAAAGCATCTCTCTGCTTTCATCAACAAATGAAGTAAATGAAATGTTTTCTGCCCAAATCCAAAACACAGCCCCACACTGGCCACTGTGAAGAAAATGAACTCTATCCCAGTAAAAAACAGGACAATGTGATGACTCTTTGTTTATTTAGAGAGCCTTTTCCTGCAGGTATTTTCGATGGAACACAATGCTTACAGTAGATATTTTCATATAATGGTTTGAGTTGGAAGGGACCTAAAAGATCATGTAATTCTAACCCCTTTGCCATGGGCATTCCTTCCACTAGACCAAGTTTCTCAAAGTCCTTGGGAGTATTCATGGTAGGTGTCTTTAAAGCACGTGTGTGCTTGAAAAGCCTTCTGGTTTACTTTAACTTGGAAGATCTGTCTATGCCTCGACTGAGTCCCTCGACAGTTCTGTTTAGTCTTGTTTAGGTAATTTCACTTTCGAACCTTTATGTCCATTCAGCTTCCTCTAAAAATAAGCAGCCTCCAGGACAAACACTGTGGTACTTTCTTGCCACTACTTCATCCACAGAAGGATATTTCTTTCTTCTTGTGTGCTACTAGAAGGCTGGGATATTTCGAACTTGATGTTACGGCCCCAAATTCTGAGCTTTTATAAATGTCTCTTTCCTATTAGGCTTCTGCCATGTGTCAGTAACCCTTTTGAAATGTGACTGCATATTTATCTCTGTTTTCTGGTGGAACCCGTCCTGGTACTTGACAGAAAGAAATATCTCCAATCACTAATGTCATAGGGTCAATGTAGCTGCAAAAAGGGTAAAGTTGTGATGTTGTGCTGATCATAAAATTGCCTTCTAAGTTACAGGTAACCATGACTTTTGGTGTTGGCTTAAGGACAGAAAAATGTCAACTGTGATTTGTAATACCTGGATGCAAATGTTTTGCTGCTTGCTCATGACAATATTCTATTTGTTAATGTCTGTCAAAAATCACCAGTCAGAATTTTTGAGAATGTGTAGACTAAAATTAAGTCCTGTAAATATTCTAATTTGTCATGATCTTTGTTTCAAAGCTCTATGGCACTTAGGAAATGCAGTTTTGCAGTAAACTTAAGGTTAAAGAAAATATTTGAAGGTCTTTAAATACATTTTAAAACACAGAAAAGCTTAGAATTTTTTAAGGATGGGAAGATGATAAATTGAAAATACCAGGTTCTATAAAAGTAAATTGCTTTAGTCTGGGACTTCAAACAGCTTGACTGTTGAAATGCATGGGATTAAGATCAGGTACTTTACCTTGATATTTTATCCCTTAACACATTCTGTTTAAAAAAAAATCTCAACTTTGCATCCTTTGAATTAATTTATTCTGGAGAAAAGATAGAATCTTGGCAGTACTTTTCCTCTTAGCTGTGTTATAATACACATTTGATATGGCTTGTTTCCAATTTAAAATAATGCTCATGTGTATGTAGGAATTATTATATCAAAAATTAGAGAAGAAATTATGTGATATTGTTAATGAATTTGATTGTTAATTTCATGCTTCTAAATCAGGTGAAGCAGTTTGCTTCTGGCTGCTTTGTGCAAGCGAGTGAAGCAAAAGCAAAGCAACTGGAATGTCTCAGGTATGCAGGAAGGTTTGAAGCCTGTGCCTGTTGCCACTGCAGCCCAGCTATTGTGTGGCTGTGAATCTTGCCCTTGGTTTTCCCAGTGTGGCCAGAATTTTCCTACTGCTGGCATGAGCTCAAGACCAATGAGAACTTGATCTGTGTATTTTCATAGAGACCTTTGTGTTGCTGTTTTCGTGAGTCTTAGAATTGCCACTTGCAGAGTAGCTGCTGTGCTGGGTGTGACTGTGATGTGATGTCTGTGTTCAAGATGCCAGTGCTACTGAGCTGCCTGTTAATTACAGTAATGATAACCTATATATGTGTTGTTGGAGAGGCTGAAAATGCCTTTTTTCCCCAACTTGCATATTATGACTTCGTATCCATGAACTCAATCTTTCATCATTGTATTTAAAATCAAATGTATTGATTTTTTTGGGTCTCAGACTGGAAGCCTGTTTCTAAATACCTTCCCATCAAGCACAACCAAAAGATTTTGAATTTTACTACTGCACAGACAGCTGTGATCTTCATAAGTGGTTTGTGTGGGTGTCAGTGTTCAGCTCTCCAATGAAATTTGTCAGAAAAGAAATGAGACACTGAATGAGAAGGGAATTAAAGCAGAAATTTGGCTGTACAGATGATTTAGCGGTAATCTAATGTGGAGCTAATTGGCTAGTATCCAAATTGTGCTTCTGATTGTTTGTTTTCCTCCAGGGAAAAATGTTATTGAATACTTGATGCCTGTTTCCCTGAAGTAAAATAACATAAGCTTCATGTCTCAGTATTTTGTTCTAACATCAATTTTTATCTTGCATGGCACTACTGTTTCTTATCGTGTGCATAGATTATGATATCAAAACTGAAAATGTTTTATTGTTGTAGGAAAATACTGGCCATGTGTAGGTCAGCAGGAATTTTGCACTTTACATTATTATTGCCAGAATTTCACTCTCGGTTGTTATACAGTAGATGAATTTTTAATGTTTAGTTTTTCGTTGTCATCCATAGTATACTCATTAGTCAGCAGAATGCAATAGAGATGTTCCCCCCCCCCTTAAAAAAAAAGACAGGTTACTTAAATGTTCATGGAATTGTACTGCTGCAGTCAGACTAAAAACTTAGTCTCCTAGGACTGTCTGCTGGAAGGCTTTAGAATTGTGTTGAACGTCTAAAGTCCTTCAGTCAAGTCAGGTAATATAACTGAGCAAAAGCAGAGCACTGGAGTAGAAGGATCTGTAGCAATTGCATTTTATAATTTTTGCTGTATTGAAGTATAATTTTAGTTTACCTTCTTTGTGGTGAGATTTTCTGTATGTCAACTGTCAGATGCAGAAGTTCACCAAAGTCATTGGGTCCTTGAGGAGTGACCTCACCAATTCTGTAAAGGTGTTGGCCTCTGCTTTTTACTGTATTTTTACTTATTGGTCAATACTACGTTTTTCAACAAAAAACATTTAGAATATTAGTAGGAATCATCTTCCTTTATAATGCATTTGAATGTTGTTACTTGCATGAATAATAATAATAATAATGAGAATATGTATGATTTTAATCTCAGATCTATGTAAGATGCTGGAGTTTGTGTCCCAGCCTGAGGCTGTGAGCAAGCACACTGATGAAATTTCTCCTTTGGAATTAAGGCAGCTACAGGACCTTAAGGAGACCTTGTCTGTGGGTTTAAAAACTGAAATATGCTTTAAGCATTATGCCAAGTGGAGTTCCAGTTTTCTATGCCTTGGATGCAGCAGAAGAGGATCTTGTAGTGATGCCTTAGCTTTTAGCTTTTATATTTTTCAGATTCTGTACTGCTTTTGTGTGCAATTCTGAGCTTCACATTAAGGGATGGTAAGCTTTCTTCACAGAGTAGTTAGACAAAGCAATTCCTTTCCTAGCTTGGGACCAAGGACAACCTCCCCAGTCTCACGTCCAAGAGCATAAACAATGTGGGCTGAAGAGAGAAACAAGAAGGATGGGACTTCATAACCTAAAGCTATAATTGGACAATTAACTCCAATATTCTGAAGGACCAGAACTTATAAAAGTGAGAGACCTTGTGACCAGTCATCCATGTTGTGACTATTTTGGATCCATCTTGGGTGTAGGCCTGGCTGGGCTCTTGCACTGCCCAAGGTGTATCCATTGAGGCTTTTTAATAAGTACCTACTTTATTCTCTAAATCTGTCTAACCTCTGTTCCAGATCAGCCTTCACAAGGCATTGGTACGGGGTATTTTCTGGGGACTCAATCTGACAGGGCATGGAATGTTTGTGGGGATGTTGGGATAATGTGCAGCTATAACCACTAGTTATGGATCTTCTGGAGCAATAAGTGTAGAGTGGTTGGTTGGGGTTTTTTTGCAAAGATAAATTTACTGTCCCTGTGGTAAATGTTCATTGCTTATATTGGTATATTCTGATTTTTAGCTCAACATAAATCAGTTGTTTGGTTTTTTTTTTTATAGCAGTCAACACCCACAGTCCAGAGATTTTTGAGAATGGAACTACAGATGCATATTTGTGCCTTCATGCTGGAATGAGAGTACCATTTTGTATATGTGTCTCATGTCCTAAATGCATGGGCTTGTGTGCTGTGTCTCTTGAGAAGAGACAAATGTTGTGTATCCTATCAAGCAATGGTGCTTGTCTTAGTTCTTGGAATAATTGCTATTTGGAGGTAATCAGTATTAACAGGTTTTTAAAATGTCTCAGGACCTGTTTAAGGTATGTTTTGTTGTTTTTTTTTCTTTTAGGTGGCCTGGCTTTAGCTCAGGTTCTTTTTTTTTATGTGAAATATCTGGTTCTGTATGGTGTTCCTGGCCTCCTCCTTCAAATGGATGGACTCAAACCTCCAGCTCTGCCTTGCTGTGTGAGCCTGATGCACAGTTTCACTAAAATGTGGAGGTTAGTCATTGCTGCTTTTCAGGCAGTTTGCTACTGATACATGGCAGTCTGTAAGAACATTCATGTGTGTTCATTCTCACATACATGTTTGTTTTCCTGTCCTGGTGCTTTTTCTCCCATCCCCATTATTCACCTTCAGCGCTTTTTAATTGGACTTCAACTTGATGGTTACTTTTTTCACACTGTGGAGGGGTAAGGGCAAGTACCCATTTCAGCATTTTCATCCTTTTAATTACTAGAGTTGACTCAGCCTATCTAGTTAAAGTAGCAATTATTTTTTCCAGTAATCTATTAAATGATTTTTTTTTTTCAGTCTGGGTCTAAACTCCACATTATTTCAGCTTGAAATCCTTCCAGAGACTGAAAACGAATGCTTTATTAATCACATGAGGGAAGCTGTAGTTATAATATTTTAACATGTAGAGTCATATGGTAGAGGAAGTCTTGAGCATATTAAAAGCACTATGAAAATGATACTTGTTTATAAAGTAGGATGGGTTTCTGGATCTGCTTTGCTTTTACAGGAGTTCCAGCACAATATTTCTTCAGAAACCTATGAATTTGTATCTTATGTTTGCTTTAAATCAGTGTTCACTGAAATATTTTCACTGAAAACTGTCTCCTAGGTGGATTCTGCTTAATGTTTACCTTCTGTGTAAGAGTAGATTCACTTGACTTCTCTCCTCCCTTGTTTTCCTCTGCACTGGCCAATATTCCTTCAGGCTGTGGGGTTCTGTGCCCCAGACTTCTAAAAACAATCCCCTAATAATTTAGATTTGTCAGTCTTTTAGTGCAGAGGCTTCTCTCCTGTTGTGTTAGTGCAGAGCCTGTCAGAATGGTGCTTACTCCATCTTGTCTCTGACTGCTCTGCAATATGAATAAAGCTTTTAATTTTAGTCATTAAAACAGTGGGCCTGCTGTTACCAGAGTTTTATTGGATGAGATTTTAATTTTGTTTTCAGCTTGAAGCTAGTTGTAACAAAAAGGCTTTATAGTTTATAATAGTTGGCATGTGTAGATCTGAAGTATTCAAAGAGTTGCAGCAGGAAGAGTGCAGAAAACAGATGAATTATTAAAAATGATTTGAGCTACTAACAACTGCTTTGGTTTAAATGCTCTTTCAGAGTTTGCACTGAACTTATGACCTACAGAGTTAATATAGAAATCTGTCATTTCTACCAGGCACTCTCATGAGAACAGCATTTCTTGGCCTGCTGGCCCTTGTAGGCAGAGTTGCAAACAGCAGCAGTTTTTCCCCTTTGTCAGTTCTTATTCCAGGGAATCTGTGTATTGCACTGGAGGTGCCAAGTGAAAGTGAATTTCAACACAAACCCTAATGCTGTGCCAGGTAGCTGTAACAGGCCATGAAAAGGTGCTCTGCACCTGCAAATGTGTGTGGTGTATCACAGAAAAAAAACTGGGCATTCCTTAAAATATTCATAACTCTTGTTCAGAAATTGAAACTAATATCTAAGTAGAAAGCTTTTCTTTATAGAAGGAATAAGTGTCAGGTGCTGATATTAATCTTTTGCCAGATTATTTAATTTCTATCAAGAATTCATTGCCCAAAGTAATAAAATTATTTCACAGATTGAATTTGTTTGCTTTGCATGTTGAAAAAAGTCAGTTAATATATACCTGACTTGATTTCTTGCCCTCAAAGTTCTTTAGTAGTAGATTTTTCTGTGGCTGCTGTGTGATGGGACATTCTCAATTAAATAAGGAGCTTTGTGAATGCCCTGAATGATGATGTCCTTATGCCTTTACAGTCAAGCTCTTCAAACACTCTACCCAGAGGCTTTGCAGTGTGATGTGGTGAATAGTTATCTTGTATAGGAGTGTTGTGTTAGAAGTAGGAATAGCCTTTGTTTCTGAACTGTATGACTGAACAGGACAGAAAGTTTGCAAATTATATGTTTAGCACAAAACAGTGAAAAAAGGGGAAAGTAAATGGTTTATGTTGTGAAACCTTATTAAATATGACACTGTTTCCCTAAAGTTCTAAATGCATTTTGATAGTTTGTAAATACAAGACTTTAACAGGAATGTTCCTGACAACTTTATCAGAGTGTGTCAAATTTAAATATTAAGAATGCCATGTCTAGTTTTAAGCTGGCAGAGTAAGATTTCTGCCAGACTGCTTTCATTAAATAGTAGCCTGGTAAAGCTTATTAAAGACTGCTTAGGGCCAGGCTGGGACATGGAGTGGGTTGGAATAATCCAGATGACTTGGAGTTACACTACTCTTACCTTCTATCTGGCATCAGGGACACTGCTCAGGAAAAAGTGCTTGTGCATGCTTGGCTTACTCTTCCCCTTCTTGCTGGTATCCACTTGAGAATACTGTCAGAAACATCTTGGCTGGACTTTCCAAGGCCCAGTATTACAATTTTTGTCTCAAAGCTTTTAGCAGTGCATGTTTTGAAGGAGAGAAGGTAGCCTGGAGAGAAAGACAACGTGAATGTCACAATGTAAGGAATGCAAATCTGCTACTAAGGAGCCTTGCACCACCACCTGGTGTCCTTTGAGCATAACAACAAAGCTTTTGATCCCATCTCTCCAGACCTGTGTCACTTCTAGTTGGTACATGCTGACATAATTCACTGTGATATGGAAGAGCTTTCAGTCAGGAAGGTAAGAAAGATACCAGAGTGTGTCTAAAGCTGGCTAAAGTTTCTCTAGAGCTGTAAAGCAAAGCAGGTGTTAAAAAACCAAATCAAGTAGTCTGCCTCTCTGTGGTACTAAACAATGAACCAAACCGTGTTCATTCAAACCTAAAAATAAAAGACTTTAATTAAAAAAGTTATCAAGCCTATGATAGCTTCTCCCTAATTCACATTTAATCAGAACAATCTCTAGAGTCAAAAAATTACCAGTCTTGTTTGCTGCCTCAAGACAAATACAGGTGTTGAATGTGTTACTCTGGTTTCATTTCACCTGGATATCATTAGCTTGCTAAATATGCAGCTGCATAGGTAATAAATGCATGATAAATACAGTGCTATTCAAAAGCTTTATTATAGCTCTGAAAAGGAGTCTCTGAGCTCCTGATTTCCAGAGAGGATAGCAGTTCAGTGGCATGCAATCTTAGTTTTTAATGTCTGCTTTACCTTAAGCTGTGATGAATTAAAACTTAGTTTTTGTTACCAGGGTTAAAAGCGGGTAATCAATTGTGAGAGAGAACCAATGTTGTTGGAAACTTGTGCCTCTAAAGAATTAGTCAAGGCTGATGCTTGCCATACAACTTCTCAGATGGGGGGATGAATTGTGTAGTGCAACTAAAAGTAGTTGTGTTACTGCTGAAACTTACAAATTGAAAAATGGAAAAATATCCTAGTGGAGGAGTAATGGCTTGGAAACTACAGAAACAAAAGATAGTACATAACTAAATCCTATGTAAAATTTGACGTATTGGTAAATTATCTTGGCAATGTGTTCCATAGAGGAACTTGTCAGTTTGTAAATTAGGACAACAGTTGGCTGCTGTTCATGGAAAAATAATCATGCTTCCATTTTTTATTTTTTCATACTGTTACAGGGTATGACTTTGCAACAAAAATGTTGAACACATTAGTTAGATATGTTTTGCCATGCTGTGGGAGCAGCATGACGTAAACCCCACCGTTATTTCTGGTCGTAGGCTGATCTGAAATGTGCAGAAGCACAACACCTTGATGGTGTTCCAGGGCTGGAGCACCTTGGCTATGCAGATGGTTTGAGAGAGTTGGGTTCAGCCTGGAGAAGCAAAGGCTCCAGGAAAACCTCATTGCAGCCTTCCAGTACCTAAAGGGGGCTTATAAAAAAGAGGGAGAGTGACCTTTTTATGCAGGCAGGTAGTGATAGGCAACGGGAAATGGTTTTAAAGTGAAAGAGGAAAGGTTTAGATAGATTGTAAGACGCAATTCTTTAGTGCGACGGTGGTGAGGCATTGGAATATGTTGCCCAGAGAAGCTGTGGATGCCCTGTCCCTGGAAGTGCACAAGGCCACGTTGGTTGGATGTGTCCTGATCAACCTGGTCTAGTGAGAGTTGTTCTTACACGTATCAGGGGCATTGCAACTAGATTGTCTTTGAAGGCCCCTTACAACCCAAGTAATTCTGTGATTCCATTACTTCTTCTGTCTTTCCACCTTGGAATCGTGTCATTCTCAAACATCCCAAAATAGTTTGGAGACAAATGTTTTGGGGATGAATTGTGCTAAAACTTGATGCATATTTAAAATAGGTTAGTCTCAGCAAGAGTAGAGGCTTTCCAAGAAGGCAGGCAGAGTAGCGTATGAAACATAGATTTCACTGTAAACAGTATTTCATTTAGATTAAAGAAAATGAAGTTGAAGAATGCTGCCAGAGGAAAATAAAAAATGCAGTGATAAAGATCAGGTCGTTTTCAACTACCATGCTTTAGGTTTTAGATTCTACTCTGTGTTTAACACCCTGATTCTTGACAGACAAGAGTCTGACATTAGGCAGCCCCTGATTTTCTTGCATGTATAAGGGGTGGACTAGGAGGGCTGTATTTGGCATGTACAGACACACACAGTTCTATACAAGCAAGTTAAATTTATATCAGTGATATCTCAGTAACATCCAAAAATGGCATGTGGGTTATGATTTGCAAGAAATTGTCTGCCATTTAGTTTAGTTTACTGGCCTTGTTACTCCTTAAGATTATTTGCTTGACATGAAAAGAAGTGGTCTCTGTGCAAGGCCTCAGTGAATTGCTTCAAATTATGGATTACAGTCTGCTGTGGTCTTACCACTTTCTAGGCTATAATAATGCCATAGAAAAATAGATCTACAGATAAAAATGTGAATTTATTTGCATTTGTTTCTTCCTCATCCTGGAACTTTTTGCCTATTTTACTATTGATCCTGAAACTTTCCTCCTTCTGGAAACAATTCCTTTTATGTCTGCCAAAAAGGACATTGCCAGGGTTTTTTCCCTTTGTTTTGGATTTTTCTGGGAAAAAACAAGTCTGACACTTATGTGTGAGTGTGAGC